TCCACACAAGGATGCATAGAATCATAGAAACCACTGGCTTTCTGTTAAGAGACCTTGAGTTCTATTCCTAAAACATACCATAGGTTCATAAATGTGTATTCTTTGATATATGTGTATTCTTTTGGTTAACTTTCTAGAATTTTCACACTCCTTGCTATTTCACAGATCAGACAGATTTCACAATTGAAGGAATGTGTTGCAAAAAGCCTAATTAACAAGTCTTAATTACTTCTAGGGTTTTTAACAACATCAAAGGTATTCTCCTCCTACAGTCTTAGTTCATTTTTTGTGTGCTACTGGCATGTTTAACCTGTGTCTCCTGTTCACGATTATTCAAGAGCCATGCAAAAACAGGTGAACCTGGAATTGAAATTGCAGAACCAATTTCAAGCACTGCCGTCTGTCTTTCAGTGCTCTTCCATTGCGGGCGTTAATTACCCAGCCAGCCTTTGTGGGTGGACACTGAGAGACAAGAAGAATGCGTGTCCTCTTTGGATGGGCCTGCTTGCACAGAGCGAGCCATTATTGCCAATTCACTAATTAGACAGCACCCATGAGCATATTAGGCCCATTCCACTTTGTCCTATGAGCTCAGGTGAATAATAACAAGGTTGTAACCATCTGGGTTGAAGTACAGGTACTCTATTGGACCAGCAAAAGCACTGTGTGGCACGTGAGACATTGGTAGAACAGCCACACCTGGATGCCATCTGGATTTTGTTGAAGTCAAATTTTGCTGGCTGAGGGGGGTAGGCTGTAAAGGAGTTCCTTACCAGAAGGAGACAGTTCAAAGAACACAGAATTAGGTTAATGATCTCCATGTTAGTTTTTAATGCAGAATTAGACTGGCAATAATCCCACGGTCCTAAAGGAGTGCTGCACATCCACATGCTGTCTTGGAGTTTTGTTACTTAGCACTTTAGTTTGTAGTTTTGAAAACCTTTGAAAGGTAGGGATGCGATCTTGTGACGATTTTGGATTATCCTGTGGTGTGATGGGTAAACAGCTAGTTTTGATGCATGATGGAAAATGAGAACCAATCCATATTTCTTTCAGGGAGCTTGGAGAAACTTGTCCTCGGTGCTTGCATTTTCAGCTGGGTGCAATTTCATTGAAACTTTGGAGTGCTTTATGCAAATAGGGCATGATTATGGCTGCACCACTATAAAGTTTTTCTAACATTAAGAGCAATATAGATTAGATATATGAGCCTGACATAGATGTCTTGCAAGTATGACTTTGTTTGATAAAATTAGTGTTGTGAAAGTGGAATTGATTTTTAAAAGTAATTCACACTGGAATTAAATCTCGGAATATGAATTAGTATTAAATAGGCCTCACTACTGCAGTCAGCCTTATTTATTCTTTCCTTGTTTTTTTGAAACAGTCACATCAGCTTTTAATCGGTCTTCATAACTCCTGCATTTTCCTTAACCTAAGGACGTGAAATCACTGTTTTCATGAGGTCATCTTTGTGACCATTTCTAAAAGTGTGGTTTCATGTCAGATCTTCCTCAATCTCTCTGGTTTGTAGTCTTTTATTCTTCGATATATCTTTTTAAAAATTTCTTCATTAGTTCTGTACAATGCTTGTATTCTCACAGTGATAACTCCAATATACCAGCTGTATATTGATAATGTGACAATTGTAGTTGGGGTGCAATGGTTAGCATTGCGGTCTGGCAGCGCTGGGGAACTGGGTTCAATTCCTGAAGTATTATCTGTGTGGAGTATATATGTTCTCCCCTTATTTATGTGGGTTTCCTTCCACAGTCCAAAGACATAGTAGTAGGTTAATGACTCTGTATTAGAAAACAGAAAATGGATGGATGCACATAGTTTTAAAGTAATTTTTCTGAACTATTCACGAGTCTTAGTTTTGACCTCTGCTTTATGTAGTGTGTGCATAAGCAGATTGGAAAGGCATTGAATAATACTAGAATTAGCTTGGGCAACAGTCAATTACGTTAAAAGAATCACTAAAATCATTTTAGTATCAGGAAATCTGAGTTCTTGGTCTTATATTTCTTATATAATGCTGGTGTGATTAAAGTCTTACATTTTAAAGTTCTGGAACTAGAGCAAGACAAGGTTGGAAAAAAATAACATTGCTTGTCTTTAATAACAGCCTGAGTATTTCCCTAACGACATACAGTAGGGATGAAATAGTATTCCAAGTGAAATACACTGTAGTTTCTATAAGCGTTCAGGAGCAGGTACGGTTATCAAAGATATTATTTTATTTGAATCCTTTCAGTTCTTTGGTTACAACAGAAATACCAAATGTGCACATGTTGTTCTCACTATGTAACGAAAGAGTTCTTTCAGGGCCCTATGCAGATGACATGATCCGGGGTGGAGTGAGGAAAACACAGGGAAAAAGGCATACAGGAGTCGGGAATGAAAACAGGGGGCGTGTCTAAAGTGCACAGGCGTCCAGGGGGGCTGAGTCCGGGGCAAACAATACAAAACAGAGTCCAATGGGAAATCCAAGACAAAGGCAAAAGGTCCAAAGCCGGGCGGTCCATCCGAGGCTGACGATTGAAAACCAGAGCCGTGTCGGGACCAGCAGGAGAAACGGGAACTTAAAACCATAACGGAGCCAGGCGCATTCCAGGTCCCGGGCTCGGATGATGCGGGAATCAATGCAGAGCCCCAAACTGAGTGGGCGTCTGGCTTTTAAGGTGGGCTGCAAGGAGGCTGAAACAGGGGGCAGGTGCACAAAATCAAGTGAAAGAGCCGGAGCGCCCTTAAAGGGGAGGGACTACAATCGTGACACACTACCAGTATTTTAGTACCAGTATTTATAATGTACGAATAATGGCTTCTGGGAAATCTGATTAGGAAACTAACACTTTAACGAATTATTTCATTTACAGCTATAGTCTGTGTTCAGAGAGTGGTTTGTTTTAAGCCTGTGCAACATACTTCAGTTCAAGGACTGGGAAGAATTCAAGAGTGACAAAGGTTGGTTACAGGTTTTCCCTGTGTGATAAACTCTAAAATCTCCTACTTTGCATCATCCCAGTTTTGACTTGTGGCCAGATTAATACTGGAGAAGATCACAGTAGTTAGGGAAGGACCAGAAGAGCACAGCTAAATAATAGTTTTGGATGAGTTTCTCAGAATTATACTGTACAGTACATCCAACATCTTTTAACTACACTGCAGTAAGAACCTGTTACTGTTATTTTTGTGTGCTTCGGAAGCACTTACAGTAAGTTAAGAAGTCAGTATCTTATCAATCTTTTAATGTGGTACTCTTTGATTTTCTAATTATAAGGAACAGCTTCCTAAATTTGTTCCACATTTTCTATGTCCTTGTAAACTTCAGCAGATTTTCAAAAAAATTAAAAAAATAAAATTTGCTCCATTGGACGATTAAATTGACAGTAATAATATGAGGACAGCATTTTGCTCCGGTGCCAGGAGGCACTTGGATCACTGTTTTATCAAAGGATAAGCTTATGATTGTTGTTTTCCTGCTTTGCAAGCATTTTCTTTAATTGATAGTATATTGAAATAGTTTAGAATAGCAGCCCCAGATTCAAGACAGGATGGAAATATTAAGTACAATGTTTTGGCTAGGTCGTAGGCTTATGTTTTGAAGTTGTTTTTGATAAAATCTTAGGGTTCTCTTTATACAGCAAGTAATTAGTACCTGGTGTGTCCCACAACTGAAACATAAGCAAGCAGATGACACAGTATAGAGTGAGAGAGATGCTCCAGCTGGACCACAAAGATGTTCCTCTGTTTGACTTGTAAAGCAGCTGATGGGTCAGATCAGTGAGTAAAATGTTATTGGGCAATGGTTAACATTGGTGCTCAGGGTTAGTCCCATAGGTGCATGATTGGGTTAGATTGAATATTAGAAGGAGACATAACACAATACTTAATATTTTAAAAGGAAATGATGAAGTCAAAACAGAACACTACTTCTCTGGTGCCAGTAGTCAAATATATCCTATAATGTTGTGCTGAAACAGGTCAATTGGTTTTCATTATGTAATTAACACGTATAGGTAAAGTTACTGTAAGGTTCAAATGTGCTTTGGTATAGTTTCCTGTGATCTATCAGTCTGATTATCAATGTAGTTCTAAAATGTTTTTATGTTTTAAGATTTTCGTGGTAGCATAGAGTACTGCTTAATGCTTAGCCTTTTTTTTTCAGCAAAATCTTTACCTCTACCTACATCTGCTTTAAAAGATTGTTGGAATTAGTTTTCCTCACTGTTATACAGAGACTGTAGCAGTATAGCATAGCGGACAGGATTATAGTTCCCCCGTGTCAGAAGAAAATGACATTTTCATGTACTGTGCCAAGCATGATTTTCCACATGTTTCTTTGAAGATGCAGAATTGTTCCTGCTCGAGAGCAACATGCAGATATTTAACATTTGTTACCCACCTGGGCTGTGTTGATAATGAAAATTCTGGCGTTTTAATGAAAATAAAATATTTTTTAATACTGTAGTTGTCTTTAAGGACTGAAAAGCATGCAAAATGTGATCTTGTGACATCGGGACCCTTAAGTGGAAAAAGCTAATGTGCTCATGGCATGCAAGCAGGCACACAGTTCAAGAAAACAGATAAGACCTGCATTCCACAGCAGTTATTACACATTTTAAGATTTCACTATCTGCTTTGACTTGCAAATTGTACAGCGAGATTTAAAAGGCATTAAATTTAAAGGCAATAAACTTTTGTTACATTTACTCTAATGTCTGTAGAATTTCCTGCACCTATTATGAGTTGCTCATGAGATCTGAGTGAAACTTCTATGTCTTGGGAATTCTATTCCTTTGGGGGAGACCCTACATTTGGACAGAAAATGAAGTCTCAGTTTTGTAATCTCAATCATTTCAGATTATGCACTAGAAGAGAATTGTGTCCTAGAAATGAGAGTCATGTCAATCACATCAACTCTGGACGTGATGGGTGTAACTCTGGACCTGATGGGTGTAACTCTGAATATGACAGTGTTACTGTGTCATTGGCAGGTATGAGAAGGTGCCCGTGATCCTAGTGGGGAACAAGGTAGACTTGGAAAGCGAGAGGGAAGTGTCCTCAGGAGAGGGCCAGGCGCTGGCGGAGGAGTGGGGCTGCCCATTCATGGAGACCTCAGCCAAGAGCAAAACGATGGTGGACGAACTGTTTGCTGAGATCGTGCGGCAGATGGACTATGCCGCCCAGCCGGATAAGGATGACCCCTGCTGTTCATCTTGCAATATACAATAATGGAAGAAAAACTTAGAAAAAAACAAAAGTGAGAAACACAAGGTAAATTGTGTGGGGGGGGGTGTCTGTTACATGTAACCAGTCTTAAAATGGGGACGATAACAATACTTAATTAAAAGTGAATCACAAAGAACCGCAGCAGAAGGAATGCCTAACAATGGATAAACTGTGCTTGTCTTTCATCTTTTCATCTCAAAGTGCAGCACAAAGCACTTAGGAGATCTGCAGGAATTCTGAGGACGAGTTGATTGTGCACGATTGTAGAGCAGGTTGTTGCTTTTTATTCTGCAGTTTGACTTAATTTTCTTTGTTTTTATTTTTAAGAGCAGTTTTGTGCGCCACAGCCAGTCTGAACCTTTTCTTTTGTTTTAGTTGAAGAGTGGTAGTGGTGCCCACACCGTGTTCATCTTCACTATGGCAGAGAAGCCAAGTTCTCCCGAGCAGTGTGGAGAAGGAAAAGATTTATCCCTAAGATCCACGTTTAAACATTGATGAGAAATTGATTTTTTGTACCAGATTTCTCTGCGCAGGAAGGGAGAAGCCACTTAACACTCTGAAAGGCTTTTTAGTTGTCGCAAAAAAGGAGCACCTAAGGCCAACACAAAAAGCCTTGTTTTTGTTTTTGAAGAATCAGGCACCCATGGATGACTGTTTCCATTGTATGGCTGGCAGCTTGCAGGACTGTGAAAGCTGTTTTATCTGTATTTTTTTTAATTCTCAGAGATCATAAACAAGTGCGTTGTTTACACAGTAAGAAGTAGGTTTAATGTTTGCACCACTCAATTTTGGAAAGAGACCGCACAAAAGTGAAGTGTTTTGTCGACTCGGCAATCACTCGTTACAGCTGAGCGGTTTTTCGAATCTTGCCAGCACAATGTTCATCGTGCAAAACACATGATGAAGTACAGTATTTCTATGTCTCTTAGGGGAGGGCTGCCTTCTAGCATGGTTACATTCATAATCGGAGCAGCGGGAATGATGGGGAGGGTGTGCTTCAGTTCTTTTCAGTACTGTCCCAGTATAAATGTGGAAGAAATCATTTAAGGACAAGCCATGGTTTTCATTACTGTCTTTATGCAACACAAAGGTTTTGTCAGATCCCATTCCTCTTTGTCTACATGATAATATTAATAATTATGTTGGTTATAATAGTAACAATAATAAAATTAAACATAGCTGCAAATCTCTGTAAATAGTTTGGAAGGTGCTAGCTCTTCTGAAGACACTGTTCAGTACTCTGTAGTGGAATTGTCAACCGTATGCATGGCTAGATAATGACAAAAGGACTTCATTCTTAGAGGTTATAAATGATCAAGTCTGCAAACAGAACGCACTTAGTCCTGGATAAGACCTCAGGAATTGAAGGCTGTATGAACAACACTTCTGTGTTGCCATGGAAGAAAAGGCCTACCTTATTACCATTTTCATTGTTTACTTTATATTTTCTCTGTGGACATTTACTCTTTTCCCCCTTTCTCCTTGCTGAGGAATTGTAACACTGTTAAGCACCAACACAATAACGATTGTTTCTACACTACAGTGCTGCTGTTTTTAACCAGTCTTACTGTTCTATTGTTAAAAAATAGCAGCATTGTTTCTGAGGCACAGTTTTTCTTTCCACTTTTTATGGGGAAAGGGCTAAATGTTAAAGAAATGTGAAGGAATTCATACAAAATGTATTTCTTTGCTTCCTTGAGCCATTTATAATGCTAAGCCACAGAGCGAACACTGTAGTTTTGTGAAAATATAAAAAATACTAACAGGAGCCTTTCTTTGGTGGCTGAATTAAGTTGTACGACTAAGAATACAGGTAATTTTTCTCTGTTCTTTTTTTTTTTGTTTCCCATCTTGGATTTTCTTGGCTCTGTTCATTGAAGAACCTTTTCTGCAACTCTGTCACAACAGAGAAAAATACAAGGCAGTTGTAACTTGGGACCAAGTGCTTTCTTTGCTTCCATTCCTGGACCCAGATCCTAGGAAACTGCACACATCCAATGTGAAATGCAGTCCATCAGCATTCATTTTCTACCTTGGACATTTTTTGTTTTTGTTTTCCACTCTGTATGACTAAGAAGAAAAGTTCGATGCCAAAATAAAATAATTCCGTTCCCAATGTGAAGGACAAATAGCAGTGGTATCAAAAGACTGAAGTAATACTAATGATAATGCTGATAATAATAAAACAAACTGAGAGCCAAACGTGGTCTGTCTGATTTGTCTTCATAAGCAATGTTCTGTGGTAGGACGTCAAGTACATGAGAAATTCCAAAAATTTGGTCTTTTTTTTTTTCCATTGTTTATTTCTGGTTTAGAGCTGCAAAAGATGCAAATGTTTTAAAGCAATGACCCTACAGTTCTGTAACTTATCTCTAGCGGAGGCCTTCCATGACGGTTGAACAACTTCTGTGATGAAGAGAGTGTGTTGCTTCACTGTCCCCTTTTTTAAAACACCTGTGGCTTTTAAACTGTTCCATACAATTTTCAAATATTTCCTTGAGCTCCATAACAAAACTTAGAAAATGTAACAAAGTCACAGTAATTATCTGCAAAATGCCCATCTTTTTAGGAGCAGATGTTAGTGGGGCCAGTAGGTAGTGCTCACCCTTCAGTCTGTGTGGGTCCTAATGTGATGGGGAGACTATATTTAAAAATATAAAAAGGCCCCATCTTTTGAATGAAATGTAAAACCAAGGCCCTGATGCTCTTTGGTCATTAAAAATCCTGGTGTCCTGGCCAAATTTATTCCTGGCCTTTACCAATCATGGCCTCATAATAATTCCTATCTATGAATTGGCTTCATTTCTCTGCTCTCCTCACCATTACCTGTAAAGTGCTTTGAGTGGAGCATCCAGAAAAGCACCATATAAGCTACTGTACATTATAATATACCATAATATACCATTAGAAATGTCATTGTTCTGAGCTCCATAACCAACACATCTTACCAGCTCATGATACTAATTTTCAAAGGAACTTATGTCTGACAAGGAGTGCATCTACAGTATGCTGCCAGTTTTCAATAAATCTTTCGCTGTAGACAGGTTGCCATCAATCACATGTAAAGTTCTGTTACAACATAACACTCCCCCAAAGACCATCATGCTTGGGCATTTCCATCTTTTGGTCTCTTGTACACAAGTATCATTTAGTTCTGCCCAACTGTTCCACAGTCACTGACACTCATCAGGACTGCCTTGATTCATAGCTAAAGAGGCCATTGCTAGTGGCTCCACCTGCAGATTTCCTCACTGTCTGATGCATTGATGAGCACTGGGTATTTTTAGTTACCTCCTCATAGCTTGGCTCCTTGCTGGTCGGTTTTTGAGACCTATTGTTCCCCATGCCGTTGACTTAGCAGAAAGAAAATTATCCCACAGATGACTCATAATGATGTGTTGATCTTGGTGACCGGTCATGACTCATGATGTCCCAGATCATTGTCAGATTCTGCTGGCAATAATATTCTGCCATGTTAGAAATTGCTGGCTATGAACAGCCCATATGGCACGTGACAGTGCACTGGCTTTGAACAGCTTTCAGGCTTGAAACGTTCTCTCAAATGGGAAAATTGGGAGAAGGGCAAAATTGATGCTCTTAAAACAAAATCACTCAAGTACATCATGGTCAATGACAAATCATCGAATAATCAAAATAATGCCCAAACATTTGCTAAATATTTAAATCCATTCACAGAATATCTTGCTAAATATACATGCATAGAGTAACACATTTCTTTTGATGCGCAATACATTATTTTAATCATGTCCAGACAAGACATTGCAGAGCATTTAATTCAATTTGGAGTTTAATCAAATTCACATACAGTATGGTAGTCATCAATAGATGAGTATGGAAATTGTCTTGTTAAAAATTGAAACTTGCCAGAGAAGAGCACTTGAATATTATATTCTGCCTCAGGATTCTAGACAATGAAATCTCTTATTCTTATATGCAAAATATAGTCAAGTTGAACCATTGTGAATACTTCCATTTAGATCACATTATTAACCATTCTGCAAATGTGGAGTGGCTTTGGACTGTTATATACTTTGGATTTCTCCCTAAAGTACCGTAAAGCAATCAGAGAACTTAATAAAATGTAATAAATAGAGGTCACACGGCTCAATTAGGCCATTTGGTAGACTGTAGCTAATTGATCCAAGGATCTCATCCAGCCTTTTCTTGAAAGAAGCCAGGGTATCCGTTTCAGTAAGTTTGTTCCATACTCCCACAACCCAAAACTTGGACCTGTTCAGCAGTTGCATATTTCATACCTAATGTTAGGCTTTTCATTGGGTGGGCACAAGGAGCTTCTGGGAAATAGAAAACCCACCATCTGGTGACAGATTTATAATTTAAATTATAATTTATAAGTCAGAACCTCACATCAGTCCAGAATGAGGTGTGTCAGAGAAATAGACCTATCAGTCATGTATTGTCATGCAGTTTTAGAAATGTTTTTTTCATCTTAAGTGTGTTTTATTTAGAGACTTCCTCGATGTCCATTATGTCTTTAATTGCCAGTGGCTGGGGCGTCTAAAACTGTTAATGGCCTCAGGTTTTCTGAAGGATAGTTTTTTTTTTATTTCCTCACTATATGAATCTGTTAAAGAAGAGGTAGAACTACTAATCAGTAATGAGAATATGATTTACCATTTGAAGAGGGGCGATCAATTTTTTTTAATGTGTATTTTATATTTGTGTGCCATTTTTAGATTTACATTTAGATCATGGCACACACAGGTAAAAATATGATTTGTTTTAAAAAAACACCATTTACTATGATATTGTATTCTTATATTTAGTACTAAGTTATTCTAGAAACCAATACATGTTAAAAGAGTGTAGATATACAGTATGCAAAATGAAAGACTTCTTAACACACCTTCTGTATGGAGCATGTTCTCTGCCTGTTTGTATTGGTTTTCTCTGGGTGACCCCGTTTCCTCCCACCTCCCAAAGACACGCTGGCTAAATTACTGTGTAACTGGTGTTTCTAGGTTATCGCTGTATGCTTGCTTGTGTGTCTGAGAGTGTCCTGCAAAGATTTGCCATCTCCTCCAGGCTGCAGTCCCGTCTTGCCCTCTATGCTTCTAGGAAGGGCTCTGCATTATCATGACTTTCACCAGGAATAAGTGGCTTTCTTGTAAAGGATAAATTAAACTGAAGTTTTGCAGCTACTCTATCTTTATAATACATTTTATTAATGAGTGGTTATCAAAAACTCACAGGGCACACAACGTACAACAGTACACTTGTATTGCGCATAACTGGGGAAAAAAAGATCAGTAAATTGATCTTGTAAAGTGAAATCAGAAATTAGATACTAAAGCAAGAACTTTAGTTGTTTTTTAAGTCTTTAAGCAAGTGTTCTGTATGTCAACAGTTGCAGAGTGTCTGGTGGACTTTGTCAGTGAGTTCCAGAGACATGGTGCTGCATGTGAGAGGCTCTATTGGCCATTGTGTGGAGTGTGGAGGAGTAGTAAGGCTTCTGTAAGGGCACTATCAGATTTAGAACACTCAGGATTTACAAATCAGCTTCTGGTTTCTGAAAAGAAGTCAACCAGTGAAGAAAGGACCAGTAACCCACAGATAACTTTCCACTGTTCTCCATTAGAGTGCTGCGATTGACAATATCAAATCCTTCCATCCATTTTCAAACCACGTTATCCAATACAGGACTGTGGGAGAGTCAGAGCCCATCAGGCACAAGGCAGGATACACCCTGGACAGAATGCCAGTCCATTGAAAGGCACAGGCTGACACAAATGACACATAAACTCAGACCAGCACCTATTAGCCTACCAGTATATCTTTGGACCGTGGGAGGAAACTCACATAAAGATGAGTTTCAGAGTTTTCAGAGACCACACAGGGTTCCGGCTCTGCAAAGCAGCAATGCTAATCATTGTGCCGCCGTGCTGTCTGACAGTATCAAATGCTGAACCTAAAGCCAGAGGGAGAAGAATGTTAAGTGACCCAGAGTCATGTGTCTATGTGGACATAAGTTTTAAACACAATGATGAATATACATATTCAAGAAATATAGATGGTGGGTTTCTTCTACTTTTCACTTTCACAGTTTTATTAACCAAGATGTCACCATTGTGAGATTATTTCAGTATGTCTGCAAGTTTCAATATTAGCTTTAATAGCTTCCATCATGCAAATTAAGTTAAATGCTCACATTGACAAAACAAAGTGATGCCTCGACAACTTGATGCTAAAATACTGTACGTGTAATAGGGATATAACAGAGGCTTTGGAAATTGTTAGGGTTTTTTTATTACTATTTAATTTTTATGGTGGAATAGTCTTGTTTCTACTTAAGCCACAGGCTCTGGAGAAGCTTGTACTCTCAGTTGACTGTAAAGCTGTTTCAGTCATCTTAATATACTATAGCCTGGAACACTGAAGCTCATTGATACTCTTTACTGACTGTTTGGTTATTTCATGCTTGGTTATCTTGGTACACATTAACAATCAACTCACCATTGCTAAACGACTTGGTTTCCTTTACTTTTAAAGATATTTTAAAGAAGAGATTCTGTGGAGCCCATGCATTTTCTGTTGACCCGAAGCAACTCCAGATGTATTGACCCTATATAGCCTGCTGCCAGTAGCTACCATGGATCGAATGTCTGTACAGTAGAAATAAATCATGTGTGCATTCCTTGAGCTAACAGGATGTGGTGAGAGCAGTATATTACGCTGGTCAACACACAATAGATGACATAGGGCTGACAGAGAGAAGTCTTAAAAACCCTTCAGTGTTAGGATATAACTTCTCTCCCCTTGCTAAACCAGCCAGTATTAGAGTGAATCTGTAGATGAAACTGTCTAAGGCATTCCCAATGCAGGATTGTGAATTAAGGTTTTAAAGGCACGTCCGTTCCTGAAAAAGGATGCCTCTATTTCTATTTAAATAAAAAATAAATAGTTTATAGACCAATAGAATCTAAAGTAAAAATATATACTAATTTTAGTGTATTTTGGCATTAGTATTTTATGCTGCAGGCAGCAGATGGGTTTTCAGTAAATCAGGTTGAGACTATTAAACCAACAATGTACAATTGTTCAAAACAGGGGGTTTGATAATGTGGTTACCCTTTAATCCTTTCCAATTAACCCTTTCCAATGCCTAGCTAGGAGTTCTGTGGAAATAATTTAGATGAAATTGTATGAAAAAGCATTTAATA